ACTGACACACTGGCTGTATTGGTGGACTCAAACTTAAGAACAAGCGTGAGGATGGCGCATGAGTGTGAAGCATTTTGTTCTGATTTCTATGGAGTGGCTAAGAGTCAGAAGTGATTCAGGGGTACCTAACAACAACAATGTAAAAAAACAAAAAACAATGTAGCAAAAAGAACAAAGTGGAAGTGATACATGTGTGATTTTAAAGGCTGAGTCAAGAAAGGTCATGTCACCATAGCCCTACTTAATACTCACTGTCATGAAAAGATCTCTAGAGATATGGATGCTATAGCAAAGCGCAGTGAAAAAAACAAGAGCGCACAGCGATCAGGAGCAACAGTTTGGGTTCTTACAGGCTTGTCTTAAAACATGCAGCCCTCTAGGTGAGGCACCAACTAAGTCCACATGGAAGAAGCACACCAGCCTGAGTGATCCAAGGACTGTAAATAATAAAATCCAAATCCAAAAGAAGGGATGGTGTCAGAGCTTAAACTGTGAGCACTTGGTTTGCAGAAGGCTATGGATGACAGTGGGAAATTCACTTGCAGGGTCCACACACAGATACAGCCTCTGGTGACTACCCTCTGAACACAGTCTAGGGTGTGAATAGCCTTGTTCTCAGGCAGAGAGCATTGTCTAGTGATTATGGCAGATGTAGTTAGGTTAAAATGGAACACCATATCTATCATCTGATCTCCCTTTTTTTTTTTAAGAATTCAAAACCAGGTGCTATTTTTTTTAATTAAATCATTTTATTGGGGGCTCTCACAAATATTATAACAACCCATAAATCAATTATATCAAACAAACTTGTACATATATTGCCAGTCATTTTCAAACCATTATCTTTCTATTTGAGACCTTATTATCAGCTCTTTATTCCCCCCTCCCCCCACTCTCATGAACCCTTGATAAATTATTATTATTTCATATCTTACACCATCCACTGTCTCCCTTCACCACGTTTCTGCTGTTCGTCTCCCCGGGGTGGGGGGATACATCTGCCATTGCTATGAGTTCCCCCTTTCTCCCCCCTCCCATGATCTCCCTTTTGACCTATTTTAAAGGTGTTTCAATTCTTAATATTTTCTTTCTTTGGGATGGAGGTTTTTTTTCCTGTTTTGTTTGGTCATTATTAATGTCTGTCTGTTTCCTATCAGTGTTTTGTATGGCTTTCTGTGTTTGAAATCCAGAGTGCTGAGTCTAGAGAGACAGTCACTGGATCAGTACTGAGCAGGGGGCACGGCAGGGGGTGGTGCGATGAAGTGGAGAGCTCACAAGGAAGAACAAAATGTTCTGAAATTGACTGGGGTAATGATTCCGCAACTCTCCTTATTAAATTGTATGATATGTGCATTACATGCCAATGAAACTTGGGGGGGGGGGGATTCATGCAGCTTCTTTCTGGATACGCAACATAGAAAAGGTCAGTCACTTAAGCCCTGGCTGTTCTGGCCCCCAAGCTTCGGCTGAGCTGACAAGGAGCGCCAACTGAGGAAGTCAACTTCGACACCCAGCCCAGGTGAGTTTCACATGTCTGCAGCTCAAGCCAAAATGACTGCAAGTGAAGCCGAGCAAAAACTGCCCAGCGAGGCTTTCTTGGATTCCTTATGCACAGAGCATGGAGCTAAATAAAATGAGACCTGTCTGACAACATGAGGTTTTGAGTAATTCATCATCCCGCAAAATTAACTGAAAAAGAGATATTCCATGTTCTAAGACAGGGATAGTCAATACTCTATAGACGTCAGTTAAAAAAAAAAAAATCAACCTGTAAGTACATGCAATCCCTAACAAATCTGAGAACCTGTCACACTGCAGGAGCAAATCTTCAACAACAGTGCACAGATCTCTACAAACAATAACAAGCCACGCGCCATCCTGACCGCGGTCAAGACGCATCCTGACTCATCACCCTTCATGTTCTTTACATCCGTCCTGTGAGGAACTGAAGGAATGGCCGAAAAGCTGGTGTGTTAGGGTGAAAAACTGAATGTACATTTTTAAAAGCTCAAGTTTTAAATTTGCTTGGCCCTAGTCCCGGGTGCTTATAAACACAGCTTTTAAATTAAAAGTTTCTCTCTGTCGACCATACCGGTGAGCCAAACGGTGCAGCCGCGAAAGCCACCTCGGGTCCCCACCACCTGGCCTCTCTTGTTCCTGCTGACGTGGTGGGCTTGATAGGTGACGTTCGTGGCTCTCTGCATTCCCTGC